GCATATCTTTACCATTAACATCATCAAGAATCAATTAACGTGCGAGATAACAATGTCCTTGTATTGGGCCCACGCAGCTAATTACGCTAATGCTGGTTGACAACCGCTTGTCAATTCAGCTTGTCAATTTAAAGCTTGCGAAATACATTAGTAGATGTACTATTGTTGTAACTTCACTTGTCTGAATCCACTGGGCTGATGAAGATTGAGGAAACGTTAGCAGTCGTTCAGAACAGTTCGCATGCCAAATAACTCAGACAAGTACACGCTGAAAGATGCTCAAAGGTGAATGGAAACCGGGTAGAAAGGTGCACACTGCCGTCTCAGCCTGAACAACGCCTACGACGGTTGGTGAACGGATCCGGATTGTCATCATGCTCTTCGTGGCAATCCATGGTACATCGATGGACGGATTTATCGACATCTTCACGACTAAAACCGACAAGCTCAACGCTAACTTCATTACAGTATGCGAGGCCACCAGCAATCCCATCCCGAAATTGTTGCGCGATAGAAAAATGGCAACCAAGTGTTCCTCAGAAAATCTGCTAGAACCGACCTCGGACCGGCGACATTTGGTGAATAAGAAAAAGAAGGCAATACTCTTTCTACTGAGCTGTGATATTATATCACCTGGTGTAGTAATTCACTACAACTACAGAAAAAGGAATACAGCAAAGACACTCAAACTTGCAGCCCAACCCAACAAATTGAACATATCCAACAGTCTACAAGGAATTGGAATTGGAACCAGCAATGAAGAAGAAGAGTGCGCACACAATCATCAAACGACACTTCAACGCAATAATCGGGAAAAGAACGAACGACACGGAGGTATTTATCAGCGAACACGGAAAAGGCTAAAAAAGTGAACTTGCATATCACTTTTTGCAACTTTCGCTGAAAGCAATCGTCGCCACGTCAGGAGCATCGTTTTCCAGAAAGCTCAGATGGAACGTTTTAGAACCTAATTGACTCTGCACCGACGAAGGAGAAACCTATGATATTGAACGTAAGCCATATTGAATGTAAGCCATAGGCGAGATCAGCATGTTTATTCGGTCAGTTGATCACAAGCTTCCATCTTTACAATCGACGTATCGAATGAAGAACGGATCAAAAGAGGCTAAAGATAACCGGTATGCAGAGAACTGCGACTCGCTGCGGTGGCTTATGAAAAGAAGCTGCCGTTAACGAACGTTGACACAGACATCACTAAAGGCGCAGAGGCGCATTGTGAAGATTTAGTCAATGCCATCAAGACTGCTGTTGGAACGTCAAGCCGGACAACAGAGACAACGAGAAGTAAACGCATCAGCCCTTCATCGAGGCAGCAAATGGCTAGAAGACCACAGTTGGAGGTCAAAGGGAAGATGTACAACGTGCACACTACATTGTGCAAAGAGAGACAGAAGAAGTTGAGGAAAGACTATGAAAATTGTGTGAGACTTCGATTAAGAGAGGGTAC